AACATTGTTAGAACTACTGCACTTGGTAATGTTTTCAGAGACTTCATTTAAAGTTGAATACTTCTAAAGCATTAACACAATTAGGAGTATCACTAGTTAGTTTGTTAACTCAGCTTCTTCATCTAGGCTCTTACCCTATTGTTTATGATCAGTTATTGTATTACTTTCCTCCTGTTGTGTTTAGTTACCTGTTCAACTAGCTGTAAAAGAAAACAAAAGCAAGACAACCTTTCACTTTACCATAAGCCCTTATAAAATATTGCTCCAAAATAAATTTTGGAGGAAGTAGACTGCCATTTATTTTTCCCCCCCAGCTACATCTTTGCTGCAAACAAATTGCTCTATAGGAATAGGAAAAATAGTGTTTTGAGCAGCTGTTTGGGGAAGCCAAGTTAAAGGTGCCTAAGGGTAACTGGTACTGGCAACCTCATTTAACTAGAAACCTCTTGGACAATATCTCCAAGCAGAAATCCCATGTACTAAATTAGTAAAAATAAATAATTAAACAAAACAATTTGGGTTTGTTTTGATTTATGTTGCCAAATAACTGATTTTTTTTTCACCTTAAACCTAGAGAAACCCAAGCTGGTAGAGCTAAATAAATACTGGTTAAATGAATGCATGATAGGGATCTGTTAGGATAGCTGAGAGTGAGTCATACCCGTTGTCAGTAAGATAGATAAAAAATAAAACACATGCATACTCATCTAGAGGGTCTTAAATAAACCTATTAGTTATTTAGTGCTACAGATTACACATCCTACTCAGAGACTAGATCTGGTTTCATTATTGGACAAGAAACAAGTAGCAAATACAGTCTGAGAAAATCCAATGTTTCATTCATAGTATCATAGATTTATAGCTGGAAGAGAACTTTGAGATCATTTAAGCCACCCACCACATTTTACAAAGGCAGACACAGAAGCAGAAAAGTCAAGAACTCCCTTGCCCAAGATCATTCATCTAATTGGACCCACTGAGATTTGACCCTAGGTCATTTAACTTCTGGGTCAGCCACAATATGACATAAGCATAGCTACCTTGTCTTCCCATACCATTACCCTACTGCAAGAAAATGGATAGGAAAGCAACAGTTGAAACGATTTGGTCTTTTCACTCACTTAACTTGCAGGCATATTTAAGCCTTGAATAAATTGGATCATTGTGGTTCCTTAGGAGCATATCTATATTTCTTATGGAGTAAACAGAGTAGCAGATTTTCTGGGATCCCTTGGTGTCTAAATACTTTTGCATTTCACGTCTTATGGCTTCAAACATTTCCCTCAAAATCTCTTCAGGCAGCTGTAATTTGTTTTTTTTTTGGGGGGGGGAAGGGGAAATATGGAAATTGGGAGAATCTAAACTTCTCTCCTAAAAGCTCACATTTGTAAACATACTCCCCATACTAGTGGCAATAAATAGTCACCACACAATGAATGAAAATCTTATACAGTGAAAAGGAAGATAAATGCTTCTAATTTAAGGAATTGTATAGGCACCTGAAAAGAATCATGCAATTTCCAACTGTCATCAGCTCCTTTCTCCAAGACATTTCTGCGCTTATTGATCAAAAAGTATTGACCACCTAAATGTTTTTCTTTTTAAATTTGGGGAAATGAAGCACTTAATGTTCAGAAGACAAAAGGCAGAAAATGCTTTTGATACAAAGGTATAATTTAGCAGAGGTAATATAGTATGTTGAATTATAATCATAATATTTTTTCAATAGTAAAGGAAAATGAGTAAAACCAAAAGAATCTTTTTTCTTTTTGCTAGCATGATACATGAAATTATGATCATCATACTATTTTACATGGACATTTCCTACTGGAGAGAAATGGACAAAACCAAAATTCATGAATTATTTAAAGGAAATATATTCTTTTTTATTTAGATAACATTTTATTATTTTTTTGATTTTGAATTCAGTTTTTGGTTGTTTTATAGAACCTTTCTATTTTCTATCTAGATAAAAAATTTCAAGCTTTCTAGCTACCACAAATACTGTGATGTTAAAAGTGATTACTATAGAAAGAAAAAAATTCTCTATCCAATGAATTGTACATTCATTCATTCAACATTATTTACTAAGTGCCTATTATGTGCAGGGCAGAAATATGAAACAATTTCTGTCTTCAAACATCTCACATTCTATTGGGGGAACAAAAAGTATATTGAGAAATAATTATATAGGGAAAGAGATTGGACCTATGATTTCATTGATATATGAAACTCCCAGATAAAGAACTTCCTCTACTAAGGCAGATCAGGACTTTCTCTGCTATGTATAGTCTTAGAGAGATATATGAATCATTGACTAGAGGTTCAATGAATTGCCTAAGTTATTCAGCCAATGTATCAGAAATACAACTCAAGGTGTTTCTGGCTCCAAGCCCAGTTTCCTATCCACTATGTTATTGTTACTTCATGTATGTATGTACTCACATGTGTATGTATATACATGCATGTGCATACATTTGTACATGTATTACACACATACAATTTACACACTTTACATAGGAAGTGCCTGACCCTTAACTTGAGTTTTGAAGGATCTAAGATAGGGTGGTGAGGAGCATTGTGTGTAAGGCAAAGTATACTGTAAGTAGCTCACAGTTATCCAGTAAGTATATACCCACATCATGTTTATCTAGAGCTTTCGATTCTGAAACTTCACCTTGTTGACTTTCACCTCAAGCAACACTTGTATTTCTAGTGAAGCAAGAGGTGAAACTCAAATTAGTCTTTTAGCAACTCTTATTCAACCTTGCCCAGAACCGTGAGATAGAGGTGTACCTTTGAAATCATGAGGTCCAACCCCCTCATTTTACAGATGAGGAAACCCAGACATACAAGGTCACACCACCAATAACCAACAAAACCAGAACTAGAACCCAGCATTACCATTGCAGTGCTTTCTCCAGTAAGCCACTCCTAAGAAATGATACAAATGAAAGAGAAATGAAATAAATAGATGAGGTTTTTATATTGTCTGGTGTTTTAATTTCGTTTCTCTAAGATGTCTGTGTCCCCAGTAAACAAGCTGTTTGTAATGATACTTAACACATGAGTGAATTTAACTCTTTTTACTGAATCATTTTTAAAAAAATTCAAATAACTAATTTGACTACTTTGCCACTGGAGTGGCTGATGAAACACTTACCATAAAAAACAAAATTGAAATAGGGATGTGCCTCTGTGAGTGTGTACATGAAATTGTGGAGATAGCCATCAGAGAATTTGCTTACAAAAACCTGTAAAATAGGGTACATTGATGCTTTTTGTACTGGAAGGGTCAAATAAGATTTCTCCCCACTTTGGCTTTATAAACATTTTATAAGTAGCCCATAATTGAAGATATTTATATGATGACAAAACCAGGGATTTGAAAGTTAAATTTTTTTCAAATAAACTAGTTGTATTATTTACATGAAGCTAAACAACTGATTTCATTTTAAACAAATTGCCCAGTTTATTAGCAGTAGGTAGACTGCATTTGTAAAGAAGAAATCTGTCTTCAATATATTATTCATCTGTTTTTCATTACTTAACATAAGCTATAAAAACACAAACACAGCATTTTTTTTTTCAAAATATCTTGCCCAGGTGCAAAGGAGATTTGACCATGTGATGACCTGCCTATTAATTACAAATAGGATTGTTTGTAACCAAAACACCATATATAAGTCAATATTTAAATATTATTTAAAGTTTCTTATTTTGGTGTGGGGACCCCCAGCAATAAAAATAATGAATAATTTAATGGTCACAGTATTTACTAGAATCATGTTAAAAACAAATTAATAAACACTTTTTATTATGTATGTAAGGAAAAACATTTTATTAAGCTTAAAGAAAATGTAAATGAAGAATAAGGAATTCTGCCTCCATGTTTACAATGTAGAAATCCAACAAGTAGTTACTCAGCTCTCCCAGTTTGTGTTTATTTTTGCTTTAACTAAGTACTCTATTTGGCACAAGATTTGTTTCAAGTTCAAACCTGGAAATTTGCCTATTTGCATCTTTCATTGGTTTGTCCCTGGAAAAGCAACAGGCGTTTTCTAAGTCTTGTAAGAAGCAACAGTTAGGCGATCTAGCCATGGAAAAGTCCTATGCCTGCTGCTGGCTACAGGCAGCAGTGAAAGTAGAGACAGTGTTTTCAGTCCAATTTTTAACACCTCCAGGAAAACCAAAGGAGGACTGACCTTTTTGAAATAAAGAGAACATACTGTTCTAATAAAACAATCTTCTCTTTAGTCATCTGCTTTCTGCTGAATGCACAGGCTTTAGAAGCAAATGAAAACATTGACCATAGCTATCACGTTCTTGTTTAAACCTAAACCAGCACTATTCTATGGTGATACTACATCCAGCTGCCATCACTAGGGAACCATTCAAGGCTACCAAGACTCTCAGACATAAAAACCTCTGGAAGCCAGTTTTTCAAATAACTAATTAAATTTAGTCTCTAGCTTAGAGACTATAGGGTGGGGAGGAAGGCATGGGGATTAAAAAAAAAAGGCAACTTCACAGTAATCTTATCCAGAACCTCAACAAGCAGAGAAATAGCTCCATTCACTAATGTATTCCCTATAGCCTATGACCAGAGATTGGAGTATCAAGGGGAGTTATAGGTAGGACTCTGTCCAAGGTGCTTAAAAGGCAGGGGAACCCCAGCAGGCTGCAGATGGCGCCCTTCTTTATGGAAAGGGGAAAGGAAACAGAGGTAAAGTTACACTTAGACTCCGCCCAAACACGATCCAACTGGGTAACTATCAACAGCCCTTCTCTAAATAGTGCAGAACACCTTTAATCTGGAAAACCGCAGCAGACTGTCTCTAAAATACAAAGCAAGGTGGGGGATGGGAGGTAGGAGGGGGAATCTTGTGTCAAAGAAAACATATGGAAACCATTGAAATGCGGCGAAGGGACCAAGAATGTGTCAGTTTCAGATCTGCATATTATTCTTGCCGATTTTAAAATTCACAAAGTGTACTCACCATGTTGACTTCAGAAACCATATCTATGCTGGCGACATCTATCCTCATCCCCACATCAACAGGAGGGCCTGAAAAGGGATAATGAGTTTTTGTTATGTAGTTAATCTTGTCCCATATGTATGTGTTTGAAGAGGAGAAGGAAAGAAAAGGTGTGGGGGAAGGGGAAGAAAGGGTTGGTTGTATTCTACTAGGTTACATTTTAACATTTTCAAGGCTTCCGCCCTTGCCCCCCTTCTGTGTAGAAAATAGCTCGGTGTACACGTGTGCGGCATTAAGCCTGCAGATTGTGTATGTGTTTCAGTGCATTGGAGGGTTGTATTCATTTACCTGAGCTTGTGGGTACTGGGATATACGGGTATGTTCCTGTGTGTATCCATAGAGCATGCTAGATAGTGCACACTCATGAAAATGATTTGCATTTCAACTGACGTTTACCTTTGGCAAAACAGGAGAAATACAGTTGTGTTACAGGTTGAAAAAATATGAAGAATTACCTCCAAAGTCTGGCCTCAAGCGAATGTCATATCCTTTAAGCAGTCTATCCACTGTCTCTTTCACGTATGACATGTTGCTGGGTTCATTAGCGCTGAAGGAAAGAAGTACGGATTGTATTTAGAATCAACATTGAAACTGCAATCTGACAGAAAGATAGATCCGCACACCTAACCCCACATCACAAGATTTTAAAATCAAGACGGGAATTTATTCTTTTTTTCAGACACTAGAAACACACACACACACACACACACACACACACCCAACAACAAGCAGCTCACCTTTGTGCACAACAGACCATAGCTATCATCATAGGGAAAGACAGAATCCCCAGGCACTCCCGATTTTGAACTGTCCACATTCCTAACTCTGATTAAAGAATTCTCTTTTTCTGTGAAGATTCAAGGAATGCAACTTAGTCCAAGGCACAGCAATAATTCCGGAAAGGATTTGCGCATGCGCCCCGAGGTTGCTCACTCTCAAGACACCTTGTGCCTTACAAACAATATTCCTTTCGAAACAGTCAACAGCTTTCAGACCTTTCGAAGTTCTTGGTGTGTGCTCCGCTTCCTTTAGGAGATTGGAAAGGGCCTGTGTTCTTATACACAAGGTCATACATGTACATTCATAGGTAGTTTGGTGCACAGATGACTGTGATATTTTTTCCGGTTTCTTGCCCCACTCTGATTTACTCAGCTCACCGCCCGGATCAGAGTAAGCCGGTGATTGGCATCTGTCGTAGGCAGCCGCTGAGGTCCTGGGAGTTGAAGCTTGCCCGTTGAGGGGTGTGCCAATGACCAGTCCGGACTATTCCAAGCATGATCTTATCCTCCCTGGTCATTTCCCGGGGGGAGGCGTCCTAGGAAACCTCAGTTGTCCCCTACCCAGCTCTGCTGGGGAGGGAGCAAAACCAGCGTCAGCAACAGGGCTAGCTCAACCTTTCCCCTACCTCCCTGGAACCCACCTCCTTCCTCTCGGACTCACAAGCTTTGTGACAGGGACTAAAATAAATCGTACACACACACACACACACACACACACACACGTGTGTGTGTGTGTGTGTGTGTGTGTGATTTTAAAGCCTGGGCTGAGGATGGAGGTGGGGGCAGCAGCAGAGGTAGTTGAAACTGTGTTGACCAACGGATTAAGGGGTCTCCTTAAAGACACAGGGGAGTCTGGGCTTCAAAACAGACCAGGTACTGCTACAACTTTTCGATGCAGAATCACAGAATCTCAGAGTTGGAAGGGACTTCAAACACCAGCTATATATGCCTACTTCTTCCTTTTCTTCTTCCATTCTTACTATTCTTCCTTCTTATTTTTATTCTCTTCCTTTCTCCTTTCCTTTGTTCCTTTCTTTTTTCTGTCTCTTCTTGTTCCCTTTCTCTTGCTCTCCCCCTCTCCCCTCATTACACTGGAGGGATTGAAGAAGGAGGGAGAAGAGACACAGGACAAACACTGCTGAATCTGTTCTTTTTTAGCTGGTAAAATATTCTTTACATATAATCCCAAAGTAGCAATGTTAGCTTGTGGAAGATTGAGTAGGGATGACAACAGTTTCTTTATTTATGGGGGAGGGGGGAACACATCCTCCAAGAATGAGAACACCTGGAAGATTTAGGAGTACTGTCTCCCCCCCTTCACTCCACCCCACCTCTACCCCCATCTTCTTTCCTGTGGAAGATAAGCATCAGTCCTAAACTGGAGAAACAAGAGGCCAAATGAAATCTGTTGGTCAGCCTCTGCTCTCATCACTATAAGATGTTGCTTTAGGAATGGGCCAACATCCTTCATGGATAGCTGAAAGCACTGAAGGATAGACAGGGACATCTCCACTGTCAGAGGACTGAAAATTTTTGTTTGCCATATATATTGCCTTTAGAAGAGGGAATATTACTATATTAATAAGGAATTCAAGGTGTATTGGAGATGACTAGTTCCAAGATGGCAGTCCAGAATGGTGAAAAGAATACTGACTCTATAATTAGAGGACTTGGGTTCAAATTCTGCCTCTAATGCTTATTACTCATGTCACCTTGGACTAGACCTAAGTTTTCTCATCTGTAAAATGAAGGGGGCAGACAAAAGGGGGGCTGAAGTGACTTCTACTGTTATGATTATATTCCTGTAAGTTTCATAGGAAGTTGATGATAACTAGCATTTATGTAGTGCATTAAGGGTTGCAAAGCACTTTACATGTGGTAACTCATTTGAGCTTCATGACAATCTCATAACGTATGTTCTATGGATATAATTATTCTCATTTCATAGATAAGAAGAACAAGGTTCAGAGATGTTAAGAAACTTACCCATGGTCACACAGCAAACTTAAGCATATGAGGGAGAATTCAAGCTCAAATCTTCACCTGCAAGATAACTTAGCAATTCATACCCACAGTCTTTTGCTTGAAGTAGCAGTTTGCAATAAACAAAAAGGACCCATGTAGGCAAAGGTAAAGACAAGAAGAAACTAGGTAAGAGAACCAAATCAAATGACAAGTAGTTGCATAGTTAAAATTATTAATCATATATGAACAGCACACTGGCTTACTGTGTTTAAATGACTTAGAGGAAACCAATGACAGAAACTTCAGTAATGAAATTAATTGAGTGCTTTTCTACCATTAATCATATAAAGAAAAAAAAAGAGGGTGTTTTAAGTAGGGTCCATAGTACAAAGTGGTGTATTGCATCAAGAGAACTATTGACACAAGACTGGCAATAATATGATATAGTCTGAAGGGCCCTGGTTGATCTCTTGGACCCCAATTTCTTCCTTATCATTAACTTTAACCTTCAGAGCTTTATGTTTTTTCATGTAATGCTTTGATTACAATTAAAATAAAAAGCAACATTTTAAACTGTCATAGTGACCACTGTTCCCTGGATTGTACAATTTACCATCCTGGTCACTAAATCTTTTGGAGCCTTTATTTTCATGTAAAAGATGAACAGTAGTATAACATAGTAGGAAAAGTGTTGGATCAGGAATCAGAAAGACCTAGAATTGAGTCCTATTTTGGATGTTTAGTATCTCTGTGGTCATGGCTAAATTACTTAATGTCTCTGAGTCCCAGTTTGCTCATTGATATAATAGGGATAATAATAACTTCTACCTTTCTGGTATGCTGTGGTCAAGTGAAGTAATATATGTAAGAAGCCTGCCATAAACCCTTGAGTGACTTAGAAATGTGAGTTATTATAAATGAGGGGGTTAAACTTAACAGTTGCTAGAATTGCTTTCAGCTCTATCATCCTAGGATTATATGACAGATAACTTGAGGACTTTTCAAATTCATGATAAGAGGGAACAACAGCTTGGACAAGACATTAAGAAAACAGTTAACATACTGAAACTGATCATATTAAAACAAAACTACATCAAACCACATGCTTATATCAGTAAAGGAAAAAAAAACCCTTTGATGAACTATAATATGACAATCATTTATGCCAAAAATCCGACAAAGAATAAGCACAGAAGGGACTTTTTTAATAGGATGAAAAGTATGTGTCTAAATCCAAAAGCTAGCCATTACTTGAAATGTAGAAACACCAGAAGGTTTTTTTTTTTTAAATACAGCAGTAAAACAAGTATGTCATCTCTCACCATCATTATTTGGCACATTTCTGGAAATGCTAGTGAAAACAAGACAAGAAAAAGAAATTAAATGCATAAACATAGGGATAGAGGAGACACTGATTGAAATGAATGATTCAATTAGCTAATTACCTTATGGTTTACTTAGAAAACCTAAGAGAATCAGCAAAGACATTTTTTGAAAGAATAGCTTTAATAAAGGATCAGGATACCAAAAAAAAAGAAAGAAAGAAAGAAAAAGGAAAAAGCACAGAATAACATTTCTACATTTCAATAGCAAAATCTAGGAGAAAATAATAGAAAGAGCAATCCTATTTAAAATAACTACCAAATGCATTAAATATCTTTGAGTTTATTTACCCGGAAAATTCAAGATATAGATATAATCATAAAACACAACTTGAGTAAGAAAAATAATAGAAGGAATATTTATTGCTGATGGTTGTACCATAGCAATATGATAAAAATGATGTTACCTAAATTAGTTTATAGATTCATTCCCATGCCAATCAAATTACCAAGGGGATGCTTTATAGATCTTGAAAAAATAATAGCAAAATTCATTTGAAGTCTAAGATCTTGAGGGAAAAAAATTAGAAGTTAGGAATGGACAGAAAATAGTACTTCCAGATCTCAAGTAATGCTATAAAGCAGTAAACACCAAAACATTTTTGTTATTAACAAAAATAACAGGAAATTATATTAATAGACTAAAGAAGGAAGAATCAGAAACAAGTCCTTAGTAACTCAAAGTTCACTAAATCCAAGATGATAAATTACTTTGGGAAAAACTGTCTATTTAATAAGAACTGATGGAAGAACTAGAAAACAGTTTGGCAGAAATTGGATTTGGCCAATATCCTACACAATATATCACAATAAGCTCAAAATTAACTTAATGGCAAAAGTAATACCATAAAAAAAATTGAAAGAAAACCATGATCAGCTACTTTCAAAAACTATGGCTAAGGGAAAAATTCTTAGCCAAATAGGTATTAGAAACAATAATAAAATATACAAAAGATAATTTTGATTACATGAAACTGGAAACCTTTTGCACTCACAAATTAATGAAACCAGAATAAGAAAGGAAGCGGTTGATTCACATTAATTAAGGATCTGATAGGGAGCATATATAGGGAGCTGACACAAATACTTAAGACCAAGGACAATTCCTCAATAGCTATGTGGTTAAAGGCTATGAAGAAACAATTTTCAAAAGGTTAACTATAAACTATTAACAGCCACATCAAAGTGTGTTTAAAATCACTAATAATCAAAGAAATACTAATCAAAATAACTTTGAGGTTCCACTTCATACCCGGAAAATGGGCCAAAAAAAAAGATGAATGCCCATTTACTAGGAAATGGCTAAATAAATTATAATACATGAAGGTAATTAAATGATATTGTGTGATAAGGCACAGTAATTATGAAGAATCCCAAGAAAGGTGGAAAGGCTTATATGAACTAATACAGAATGAATTAAGTAGAACCAGGAAAAGATATATCTAAATCTATGTCTATCTATATATACATGCATATATGAATATATAGACACATATGTGTATAACTATGTGTGTATAATGGCTACAACAATGTAAATGGAAAGAAAAACAAGATCAAAAACAAAAACCCTGAGTCACATTGATCCAGATTATCCTAGAAGAAAAGGTGAAAAAAAATGCACTTTCCCTGCTTCTTTGCAGAAGGGTTGAATTTATGGGTGTGGAACATTGTATACATATCATCATCTTCATCATCATCCCTATAATCATTAATAATAATAACTAGAATTTATATAAGTCTTTACAAATATTCTTTCATTTTATCTTCACCAAAGTCCTGGGAGGTAGGTAATAGTATTATCCCCAGTTAACAAGATGAGGAAACTGAGGCAGAGAGAAATTAAATGACTTTCCCAGGGTTACATAACTAGTAAATATCAGAGGCTGGATTTGAACTTAGGTCTTCCTGACTCCAGGCTCAGCAATTTATTTACTGCACCAGCTCTATTCACTAGCTGCCTCTAGTTGACTCTGTTAAAGTGTTGGTTATTTATTTCTGAACTGTTTTTTTCCTACTTTTAAAATTACTTTTTGTTAGAAAGTATGACTCCCCAGGTAGGGTAGAAAGCAAGAATATATTCAGATATGAATGATCCAGTA